GTGATGGATGCGGTTGGCGGGGGCCCCGGGCGGCCCAGAACCGGGCGGCGCTCCTCCATGGGGAGGCCCGACACAGGGAGGAGACACACTGGCCACTACCGCGCTTTCGAGAAGCTCCACGGGAAGACCCATCCTGACTCGGCTCTCTATGGGACAGGGGCGCAGCAACTTAGACACGGTCTGGAGGCAGTCGGCACAGCTGAGAGGGCCACTCGAGAACAGGCGCACCAGGCTAGCCCCCCGTGGGATCTCAAGCAGTTTTACGAGCACATAGGGCACCAGGGATTGGTCCAGCAGGGGCTCATGTCTCTCTCTCTCTCTCTCTCTTCCGCTTTGCTTTACACGTGGTGCTCTACACTCTGTCTACGTGCCAGTGGAAGCGCTATTTGCTGCTCGATGGAGTCTGCTCCAGCCCCTTGCATGCCACACAAGGGATAGTTGCAGGAAGTAGTTCGGCCACGCACAGAGCAAAAGCATCCCTATGCAACACCATCACGAAGTGGAGCACGCATTCAGGGACTTATCAGAGACTGCACGTCGATGAAATTTCACTTCACTCGTGGCACATCCACCCTCGAGAGTGCGTCGCGCAACCCAAGGCCTCGGCCTTCACCATGGCCTACCACATCCCTTCTACATTGCGCGTCCTGCTCGCGGAGCGGAAAATGTTCGCGGTCGCGAATTCGAAGTCCCTGCTCCAGGCGGTCAAGGGGAATCTGGGCTTCCTGGCAGGGACATCCTCTTGGGCCCCAGGCAACCCCGGGGTCCCGTTCACAGCTGGGAGGAAGTATCGCTTGCCCAAGCCATCAGAATCAAGAGGGTCAAGAAATTCAAGCATTGGAACAAGCGCGTAGGGGCCCGTAAAATCTCCAGAAAGGCTCGGGCTAGGCTGTTCAAGAGTGGCGTTCTTTCTAGTGTGTCTTAAGGAATGGAATGGAAGTCCAGGGTATTACTCCTACGGAAATCCTGTACATTCGTCGGGCTGCCGCCAAGGCCTCGGGGTTCAGCAAGAAGGGTTGTCTCCTGGAGCTCCAATGGGCCATCAACAAGTACCGCGGGGACCCCCTCCTACTTGGCCTCAGGACCTCTCAAACGGCACGCGTGGGAGTGGCGGCGCACCTCTGAGCCGACGACAAGAGGCAGACCACGGCATCAAGATGTGCTGAGCCCAGGTGATCTGAGCAAGAGCTTCCACTCTGCTGTCCGCACGCTCGCAGGGATCCAGCGGAAGCCGCGGTCGTATCGCTCCCGCGGGCCGACCTCGGCCATGCTCTTGGGGTTAGGAGTCGGCGGCTGGTCTTGGCCTGGCCCTGCTACGGTTGTCTCACGGACTGGGGCCAAGTGTGTTTGAACTGAGAAACCGCATTCACGGGTTTCTCAAGCTTTCCTCACTGACCTCCGTCACGTGTATCTTCATAGACTTATAGGGGCCAAGCTTACCAACGCGCCTCACGGGAATGATATTGACGCTCGAGGCTGATGGCCACCCTTAATCCAGCGTGTAGCAAAAAGCCTTCAAGCAATCAACTGCACATGTTCTGTCAGTTTGTATCGGGCACGGCCCCGACAGGCTCCGCTCTGGTGAATTGGGGCTATCAGGTTGACTTGCCTCTCTATTCCCTTTGTGCACACGATTGTTGGACACCGGTGAGATAAGGAGGTTGGAGGGGGAAGGGGGAGGCGATCGATTTGCGATGGCTCTCGGTTCTTTGGTGTTTTTTCTCCGTTTTCATTGTCGCGCACATCTGCCCAACTATCTACCGACCTATATATATATAGTTATCTATTTGAGACAACCGTCTATCTCTGTGTACTTAGATCGCTGTATACATGTATGTATATATCACTCTATCAGTACCTCAATCAATGAATCAATGAATCAATCAGTCAGTCAGTCAATCCATCGATTTACATAAATATTATATTTACACCTATAAATTTATATACATACAATTATGTATGTGTCTCTCTCCTTCTCTGTATGTATACATATATAGCTATCTCTATCTACATGTGAAGATATCTGAATCTCGATTTATGCATCGAAAGTTTTACACATATATATAGAGATATATACATATATATATGTCTATCTGCCATCGGGACAATCATCGGGACAACCATCGGGACAACCATCGGGACAACCCCAACCATCGGGACAACCGGGACAACCGCCGGGACAACCGCCGAGACCACCGGAGGCCACGCCCGGCGCTCGGGGGGCGGCTCTTTTGGCAATAGATGGCCTCTACTAAGGATGGACCGCGCGCAGCTTCGCCTCGCCCGCACGCACGACACGAACCGAAACCGAAACCGATTTCCCGGCTGGGGTCACCTCAGTTCCAAGCCCCAACCTCCGACAGCAGAGATTGTGGGAGTGTCTTCATCCTCTGCCGGTGTCAAAGCGTGCTGGACATTTTGGTGAGGAAACTTTAGAGCAGCTCCGTGGGGCCAGTCAGTCTCTGCTTCTGTCTCGTTTGTGGATGCCGTTACCCGATCTCCCAGGGCCTGTTGATGACTGGCATCTCTGCTTGGGGGGGGAGCGACGGGCAGCCAGTTGATGAGTTTCAGTCTGGCCCGAGTGATGGCTTTTTTACGGACGGGTCCTGCATGTACGGTGAAAAAACTGAAATCGCGAGAGTTGGTGTGTCTGTTGTCCACATGCGTGAAGACCAGCTGGCGCGTGGAGTGCACAGCCATCTCCCATCAGAATTCCAGCAGGCGGCGAGTGACGCTGAGCATGGCGCGCTCGCTGTCTCGGATGTCTCAGGCGGAGGCTCCCTGGGCCCGACAAAATCACTGAGCCCCTTGCTGTGAACTGTGCCCCTTTGCTCCTTGGGACTCGGGACCCTGCCCGAGCCCTTGACTCCTCCTCCTCCTCCTCCTCCTCCTCCTCCTCCTCCTCCTCCTCCTCCTCCTCCTCCTCCTCGAGGGTTCTTCCAGGCTTTCCTTTCTCTGGCGTGAAACTCCCAGGCATCTCGGGGAGGCCCACATGGGCCGCCCTGCGCAAGGTCCAAGGCCCCCAGGGCCTGCGGTGCTGCTGCAGACAGTGCGGAACATGCGAGCACGGCTGGCTCGCTCCCGGCAGATCACTGGGCCAGGATTGGAGGCCTGGAGATGAGCACCTACACCAACACAGGGGGTTGCCTCCACAGGGGGAAGACGATCCTACATCTCGGCGTTGGTGGCAATATTTCGGCCACCTTGGGAGCCAAAATATTACCACCATCGCCAAGATCGGGATCTTTTTCCCTCGGTAGCTGCACACCGCCGATATTGGTGTTGGTGTCTATCTCTGGGCCTGCGACAGGATTGCTGCTCAGGCTCGTGACCTGAACCCCCAGGAGCTGTCGGCTGTCGAGCGAGCCGGAGGCGAGTGCAGCAGTTCGGTCTTCGGACATGGCTTCTGTGCTGCCGTGCTGGTCCGGCTTCGAGGTTCACTTGGAAAAAGAAAAAACTGCACAAACATCAACTTGTGGCGCTCCGCGCGGATTTCTTGGACCTGAGCTGTGTGAACACCGTGATCTCTGTACTCCCTCCTGCACAGCTGCCTCACAACAGTGCCCACGGCCCGCGACGAACGCCCGGCGCCTCCGCCGCGGAGTGCTCGAGGGCGAGCCCCGCCCGATCTCCGCTCTGCCGAAGGGGCCCTGGGACGCACAGGCACAGAGACACACAAGCCCCAGGATTCCCCCTAGTTTCCCATAATCATTTCTGGATGATCGTCTTCCCCCCCCACACTTCCCATAGTTTCCAATACTTCCTTGGGATCGACGACTCGCTTTTTCTGTGTGTGTGTTCTCCCCTCAAGATCTGCTGAGCGGCCAGGGAGGCGAGCGGCACGTGCTCCACGGAGCCAGTGTGTTGGCCAAGGATGTCCCTGTGATGTCCCGCGTGGCCCGCGGAGGCGTCGCGGCATGCAGAGCAGCCGCCCGCCTCGCTGCTCGCTGTGAGCCCATGGGGGGGGGGCCTTCTGGGGCCCCTAATAGGGCACGAGAGGTGCATCAGTCTCCGACCCCCCATTTATCGCCCCCCCTCCATTACAGCACGCCCGACCTACAGCGGGTGTTGCCTCCAAAGGGGCCCCCCCCAGAAGTCGTCGGAGCGGACCAAAGCTCCTGTGGGTACTCCTCCTGGGGACCAAACGAAGGTTGGGCCCGTCCTGTCCCCTTTCGTCCCTTCCTCTCTTCCCCCATCCCTGCCCCTGCTTCCCCTTCCTCGTCTGAACCGTCCTTGGGTCTCTCAGAGTGTACGCCAGGCCTGAGAAGTCCGAGAGGAGGAGGAGGAGGAGGAGGAGGAGGAGGAGGAGGAGGAGGAGGACGAGGAGGAAGAGGAGGAGGAGGAAGCAGGACGACGAGGCAGCAGAAGGAGGTAGCAGGAGGAGGGTGAGGAGGCGGAGGTCGACGTCGACGCCGACCGCGCTGGTGTCGCCGCTGCCGAGGCTCGTCTTTGCCCGGCCCCGTCGACCGCCGCGCTCGCAGGCGAGCGCCTCCGCCGGGTCGAACGCGAGCTGCGGCCAGGGCGAGTCGCGGAGGCGCGAGGGGGGCGGGGGAGGTCGAAGCCTTCGGTCGGCGGCGCGCCGGCGGGGGGAAGGGAGAGTCGAGAAGGGGATCGACTGCAGGAGTGTGACCTACCCCAGAACCGATTGGTGCGTCGGATCTGCGGAAGATGCCCAGACAGATGGTTCGTCGATGCACGAACACGATACGCATTCTTCGCAGAATCGACCAGCAATTACATTGGGTAAATCAATTTGGGCGCGGGGCCCAACAGCCTCAGTCACAGAAGCTGTGAGACTGCTTGCGGGTGCGCACGCCGAACGCCATGCCGATCACTCCTCCTCCTCCTCCTCCTCCTCCTCCTCCTCCTCCTCCTCCTCCTCCCATCCTCTTCCCACTCCTCCTCCTTCTCCTCCTCCTCCTCCTCCTCATCATCATCATCATCATCATCATCATCCTCATCCTCCCTCCTCCTCCCCCTCTGCTTTCTCCTCCTCCTTATCCTCCTCCTCCTCCTCCCTCCTCCCTGGTCTGTTGGAACGACTCGGGATTGTCAGGGCGAAGCAGTTTCGTTGGTTCCGGTGTGGAAGTCCCAGGAACGGCGTCCTGGCACGATTCAGGGTCGTCAAGACGCAAACTTCAGGTTGACTCGTGACGTTGAAGTCCTGAGACTGGTGTTCTGGCACGCCTTAAGATTTTCATATGGTTGTCCACCAACGGCGCAGTTCCCTCAGTGGAAATGGGGCCCATGAAGAGGGAGCTTGGAGGGAGGGTAGATTCCAACATCGTTGATGCGTCTTGGGTTTACACTGGTCCCTCCTACTCCTCCGCCGCCGCCGCCTCCTCCTCCATCCCTTTCTCCTTATAAGCAACTCCTTCCTGCCGCACACCCAGACACCAGTTGGGCGGGCCGAGCGTTTCGCCTCTAACTTCCCCACCATCCATGATCCTGAAGCTTAAACTTGCAACAGATTCACGGATGGAGGGCGGGTCGTTGTCAAAATGTGGCTATCGCCTCAGCGCCGCGCACGCTCAACAGCTTCACGGATGGAGGCGGGTCGTTTTCAAAATGTGGCGCTCCCCTTAGCGCCGCATGCATTCGTCTTAAAACTGTACAAGAGCTTGACGGATACAGGACGCATCGTTTTCCAAATGCGGCTCTCGCCTGAGCGCCGCGTACACTCGTCTTCAAAGTTCGCAACAGCTTCACGGATGGAGGGCAGGTCGCTTTCAAAATGTGGCTCTCGCATTAGCGCCGCGTACACTCGTCTTCAAAAATTGCAACAGCTTCACGGGTGGAGTGCAAGTCGTCTTCAAAATGTGGCTCTCGCCTCAGCGACGCACCCATCCGTTTCAAAGGTTTACAGCAGTTTCAAGGATTCGTATGGTCGAAGCCCCTGTCATGGCATTCTGGCACGATCTAGGATTGCCAAGACGCAACAGTCACACTGATTCGTGGCGGTGAAATCCCATGAATAGTGCTCTGGCACGAATTAGACTTGTCAGGCCGCAACAGTCACGCTGATCCGCGGCATTAAAGTCGCACGAATGGTGTTTGGCACGATTGAGGGTTCTCACACGAGTGTCTTCTAAATGGGCCAAATCCCGAATTTAAATAACGTGTTTTCAGAGGCGGCCTATGAAAGAGGGAACTTGGAGAGAGTTGATTGCAGCATCGTCGCTGCATCTTAGGTTTGTACTGGTCTCTCCTCCTCCTCCTCCTCCTCCTCCTCCTCCTCCTCCTCCTCCTCTTTCTCCTCCTCCTCCTCCTCATCGTCCTCCTCCTCCTCCTCATCCTCCTCCTCCTCCTCCTCCTCTCCTCCTCCTCCTCCTCCTCCTCCTCCTCCTCATCGCCCTCCTCCCTCTTCGCTCATCCCTCCTCCCTAGCTTCCTCCCCCCCTTGCCGAAGGGTTGGGCGGGCGACCGCGTCGGGGCCGCCCGCCCACGCTGCAGAGTAGCTTCGCCCCCCCCCGCGATGGCGGCGCGAGGCCCGCGAGGGGCAGCGGCGTCGCGCGCGAGAAGGAGAAGGGCCTCACAGGGAGAGGGCAAATATACACCACCTAGGGGGCCACATGCGAACCCTACCCTTACCCCCCACGATTTCTGAGGGGAAGGGTGGGGTTCACTTCGCTCGGGAGCTCTCGAACGAAGTGAACCCCACCCTCCCCCTCAGAAATCGTGGGGGGTAGGGACAGGGTTCGCGTGTGGCCCCCGAACCACCACTACCAGTAGGTCAGGCATGTCCTCCTACAAGCGGGTTGTGGGTGAAAACTACAAATCATCAAAAAAGCAACATATATATATATATATATATACATGGTTTCACTATTTTTGAATGTTCCTCCTGAGGCGGGACGTGCCCGACTTGACACTACCAATAGAGGAAGAACAAAAAAACATGAGCATCAAAGTTTCGACGATAAGCGAGGGTTCCTTGGATTTGCGCTGGGCCCCCCTCCCCCTGGCGCGCGGAGCGCGCCAAGGGCGGCGCCAGAGTCGCCGCCAGGGGACGGATCCGAGAAATCCGCGCGGAGCGCCGAAAGCTCATGCTGATGTGTTTCTTCTTCTTCTTCGATACAATGAAGTCGGGCCTGTCCCCCTACAGGGGGATGTTGGACGAAAAATTAAAAATAGTCAACAAAACATGCCCTAAAATACTCAAAGATGGTATGAAAAAACAAAAAACAAAAAAAAATCGTCCCCCGACTATTTGGTAACTATTTTTGAATCTTCCTCCTGTAGAGGGACAGGCCCGACTTCAGGATACCACGCCGCCGCAGGCCCATCCTGTGGAGAGCAAAAAAAAACATCCACCCCCGACAAAAAATATCCACCCCCGACCCTCGCAGCCCGTGCCGCGAGCGCACCCGAAGGAGGGAGGCGACCGGGGCAGGGCGGTGCCGCAAACGCCCAGGGGCCCTTTGGCAAACGCCGATCCGCAGGTCCGGGCGGCTTTTCCTCCCTTGATCACGAGGTTAAGTCGGGCCTGTCCCCCTACAGGGGGATTTCGGACGAAAAATAAAAAGCAGTCAAAAAATACCCCAAAATATTCAAAAATGGACCAAAAAATGGAGAGCTTCAGACCATACACCACCACCAGCCCTGGCCAGGCCCATCCTGGGCCCTGGACTTGTGTACAGGCCCTCCTGGCCTAAGGCCTGGAAGTCTACGCACCAGGCCAGGGCCCAGGATGGACCTGGCCAGGGCTGGTGGTGGTGTATTGTTGGCGTCCCTCCGATTGATCATGGGGAGAGGGCAAATATACACCACAATCACCAAGCCTCCGCGGGCCCATTCTGGGCCCATTCTTCGTGCAGACCGTGCAGGAGGCACCGATGCACCACAGCCCATGCTGGCCAGGGCCGCCCTCCTGGACCCTGGCACAGTGTCTGCGCCCTCCTGGTCGCCGAGGCCAGGAGGGCGCCGTGAACATGCCAGGGTCCAGAGGACGGCGCCGACCAGGCAGGCACAGCAGCAGCTTGCGAGTGCCTCCTGCAGATATGACCAGGAGCCAGCGTTCTGTTGCATCCTCGGGGAACCTTGCCTGTCCCGTCGCGGACCTATCCGCGTCGAACACGTGTCGAATCCATGTCGAACTCGTCGGATCCATGCCGAGTCCGTGCCGAATCCGCGCCGAATCCACGCCAAAGCCGCATAGAGCCCGCATCGGGCCCGCGTCGGGCACAAGAGAAGACACCACTTCGGGGGACCAGCGAGGTGTCCCGGAGATGCCGCGTGACCGACCAGCGTGCACCCGAAGGGTGCCCCCCCAGAGGCGAGGCCCACGGAGGCCTGGCGGCGGGGCAGGCATTTCAGTTCCCCCCTCCCGGCCTCAGCTCCCCGTCCGTGAGCCAGAGCCTCGCCGGCGCGAGGCGGCGGCAGCGCGGCAGCAGAAGGGAGGAGGAGCGAGGCCCTCACCAGCAGCAGCAGCAGCAGCAGCAGCATCATCATCATCATCATCATCATCATCATCATCATCATCATCATCATCAGTCGTCGGAATCCTCCACATCATTCTCATCATCAGCACCATCAGCGTCAGCATCACCAACGCCATGATCATCTTAGCCAACATCAGCATCGAAATAGTCGACGTCGTCGTTGCCAGCGTAATCAAGTTCCTCATCGGCATCAGCATCATGAGCAGCAGCATCATAATCAACAACATCATACGCCTCATCAGATGTCTCCTCATCACCACAGGCATCATCATAATCAGCATCGTCGACATCAGCATCATTGAGATGGTCATCATCCGCGTCCTAATCATCGTCATCGTCATCTTCAGAAACAGAATCGTCAGCATCATGATCATCGTCTTCGTCATCATCGTGGTCATCATCATCATCATCATAATCATTATCATCATCGAAGGCATCGTCAGCATCACCGCCATCATCATCATCATCATCATCGTCATCATCACCGTCGCCATCGTCATCGCCATCGTCACAATGATAACCATCAACATCTGCGGCGCAGTTTCAATGACAGTCATTAACATCCGCGTCGGCAAACTGGGAATCAACAGCACATCATCATCATCATCATCATCATCAGCATCATCATCAAAATCAGCATTATCATCCTCGTCGCCATCATCATAATAATAATCATCATTATCATCATCACCATCATCTACATCATCATCATCATCATCGATTCAATGACCTGAATGGTCATCAACATCATCCTCATCCTCGCCATCATCAGCATGAGCGTCACCTCAATCACCATCAGATGCAAGTCGGGATCATCATCAGCAGCATCGTCATCATTAGCATTAACAGCATCATCCGTGTCGAAACCTCATCATGGACATCATCGGCCTTGGCATCATCATCGCCATTACAGTCATCGTCATCAGCATCAGAATCACCATCAGCACCAGAATCATCCGCATCCTCATCCTCATCACTATAATCATCATCAGAATCAGCATCCTCATGGTCAACATCGTACCCACCATCACACATTCCCATCATGCGCGCCATTATGAGCATAAGCATCATCACAATCACCATCGTCATAAAATCGCTGACACCGTCATCGGCATCGCCGTCGTCATCGTCAGCAGCATCCTAATCCTTATCCCCACAATCAGCATCAACGCCATCATCAGAATCAGCATGCTCGTCATCATCGCCGACAGCGTCATTTTCCATATAATGAGCAATGTAGTCGCCAGCGCCATCGCCAGTGTCATCATCTGCATAAGATGTCTAGTCATCGTCGTCGTCATCATCATCAACACCACCATCGTCAGCATTAGCATTATGAGTATTACCATCATCATCATCGTCGTCGGCATCATCATGATAATCAGCATCACCACCAGCAACATCGTCATCATCGTGATCATCATCAGCTTCGACATCGTAGTCGTCTTCTTCGTCGGTATCACCGTCGCCATTGTCATCGTAATCGTCGTTGCCGCAAGCACAGTTATCATCACAGCCGACGTCATCGCCGACACAATCATCATCACGATCTATATCATGGGCATCATCATTGACAACACTGACATCATAGCCATAACCCCAATGTCATCAGCAGCATCGCAATCGGTGTCGCCGAAACCATCATGAGCAACGCCGTCGTCGTCGTCACCATCGTCATCCTCATTGCCATCGTCATGATCAGCAGCAGCCTCATCATGATCGACATTATCATCGTTATCAGCATGGTCATCATCACTGTCATCATCGTCATAGTCATCACCACAATCAAGATCATCATCGGTAGTGTCGGCTTGCCATCACCATCGACATCAATATCCTCACCAACATGAGCACCATCACCATCACGATATTCAGCAAGTCGCTGTCAGCACCATCAGCATTGCGTTCGTCCTCATCATCGTCATCATGACCATCATCATCATCACAAGTATCCTCATCATCATCATCAGCAGCATCTTCAGCTGCATCATCATCCTCATCATCATCATCGTCGTCGTGGTCATACTGTCGTCAACTACATCACCATCAACAGCGTCCTTGTCATCATCGTCGTCATCAGCAAATTCGTCGTAAGCAACATCATCATCGTCGTCGTCGCCATCACTCCCGCCATCGCCGTACGGCAGGTTCGTGTCGTGCCGACCCCAGCGTTGGTTTTTGACACCGCAGGGATTATTCAACCTTGAACGATCGGCCGCTGCCGCAACGTCCGATCGTTCAACATCGATCGAGTCTGGGTCGCCGGCGGCGTTCAACCTTGAACGCCCGCGCTGGGATCGCCGCTGGTCGACACGACGCAAACCTACCGTAGGCGACATCGCCTGCGCCATCAGCATCATCACCACAAGCGTCATCAACATCGTCATCGCCATCGTCGTCGTCATCATCGTCAGTCTCGTCGTCCAAAACAGTATCGGTGGCCGCATCATGGGCTATGCATATCATGAACGTCATCGCCATCACCATCAGCATCGTCATAATCATCATCCATATCACACTCGTCACGGGCGCTGCCATGATGCCGATCATCGTCGTCATGATTGGCAATTTCATCCTGCCCACCATCATCATTGCCATAACCACCTTCGGCATCATCATCATCATCGTCATCATCATCATCATCATCATCATCATCATCATCATCATCATCATCATCGTCATGATCGTCATCATCGTCATCATCATCATCATCATCATCTTCATCATCAGCACCAGCATCATCGTCATCATCGTCTTGTCGTCGCGCGCATCGTCACTCTCATTATCATCGAAATCATAATCAACATACCATCGTCACCGTCGTCGTCATCGTTGTCACCACCACCAGCATAGTAGTAATTCGCACCTTCATCATCGACATCGTTATCGTGGCGAGTGTGAGCATCAACATCGCCATCTTCATCTTCATCATCGTCACCATCATCATCATGATCAGCGTCACCATCATCGTCGTACGCGTCGTCATCATCATCGTCATCATAGTCATCACCAGTTTCATCATCCACATCGTCCCCATCTTCATAATTGCACCTTGGTAATCAGCATCGTCACAGTCACCAGAACAATGAGCAACATCGTCATCGTCATCATGATCATCATCGGCAGCATCATCATCAGCATCATCATGATGAGAATCAGAATCGTCATCATCATAATCATCAGCATGATCCTCATCATCATCAGCATCATCATTATTGTCATCATCAGCAGCATCATCATCAGCATCGTCATCATCATCGTGATAATCAGCATCATCATCATCATCAGCATCATCCTTCTCATCATCATCTCCATCATCGCCATCACCGTCATCATCATCGCCATCACCATCATCATCAGCAGATGTTGATGAGTCGATTATCGACTCATCAACATCGCCGTCGTCATCATCAGCGACATCACCATCGTTGTCATCATCAACCCCGTCGTACTCGTCGTCATCATCACCATCGTCATCGTCACACTCATCACCATCATCAGAACCGTCATCGTCATCATCGCAATCGCCATCGCCATCAGCATCAGAACCGTCGTAGGCACCATGACTGATCATGATCGTCGTCGTCACAATTATCCACATCGTCATCACCATCGCCATCATCGTCATCACCAACATGATCACACTCGCAGTCATAATCAGCAGCATCATCGTCAGCATCATCCTCATCATCGTCATCATCACTGTCATCATCATCATCATAATCATCATCACCATCACCATCACCATCACCATCATCATCATCATCATCATCATCATCATCATCATCATCATCATCATCATCATCATCATCATCATCATCATCATCATCATCATCATCATCATCATCATTGTCATCATCATGAGCATGACCATCAGCATCATCATCATCATGGTCGTCGTAATCGGCACCATGATCATCATATTCGTCGCCGTCGTACCATCCTCGCGCCTCTGCCCCCGTGGCTCCTCCCTGTCGTCGTCCACGGGCTCCGGGGCGGCGCGCGGCAGCGGCACCTGCGCGCGGGGTGCCGCGTCGACCAGCACGACGCCCCGAGCCATCCCCTCCTCCCCCTGCTTGCCTCCTCCTCGCTGCTCGAAACTCCCTTACCCCCTCTTCGGTGGCAACTCATGGAAGCCTCCCGTACCATCTTGTCAGCTCTTGCGAATCGACGCTAAATCGACGCTACTCGACGCTAAATCGACGCTAACCGACGCTGATCGACGCTAACGCCGCTAAGTCGTCGCTATCTCATCAACGTCCAAACGCCAATCGACGCTAGTCGACGCTAAAGACAAAATTACGAGAATCATGATTTGCTACCAAACCCGCCCCCCCATTCCTGCCCCCTCCCTCATAAACTGAACAATATGAATACTGCTCTCCCTCGTCCCCTGAAGCTGTCCAGAAGATCCGTGCTTCAAACATGGTGTTCCCGCTGCAGCGTGGGCCTTATTTTCGGATCGGCGCGTGGCTCCCGTCGTTGAGTGTGGCGCTCTCGCCCCAGCGCGGGCCACTTTTCTGGATCCGAGTCTTGCTTCACTGTCCCCCCCATTATTTCCCCTCCTCCGCCTTCCCTAGTCCTCCTATTTCTCCCGCGCCTTCCACTCCAGTCCCTGCTGCTGCTGTTCGTCTTGCCCCAGCGCGGACCACTCTTCTGAATCGAAGTCTTGATTCGTCGTTGTCACCCTCTCATTTCCCCTCCTCCGCCTTCCTCTGGTCCTCCTTTCCCTCCCGATCATGCCGCTTTAGTTCCTGCTGCTGCTGTTCGTCCTCATCCTTTTCCTCCCTCTCATCCTCATGCTCACCCGCCACCTCCTCCTCCTCTTCCTCCTCCTTCTGTGCACGCAACTCCCGGTTTCCGATTGCGCACAACACGAAGTGGTCTTTCTGTGTGAGCCGCAGGTCGGCTTGACATGCATTCTTGGATAAAAAAACGATCAGCGCCGTAGGAAGGGTTGGGAGGCCTAGCCATCTCGGGCGGGTGGTAATGGGGGTGACCAGAATAATGATAGGTCGGGCAGATCCCCCTACAGGCGGAGTTGGGAAAATAACCACACAAATATTCTACAACAGCAAGAAAATAGTAAAAAAAATCGTCCCCAGGCTATGTTTTGACTATGTTTGAACATTCCTCCTGTAGAAGGATGGGGCCCTCAAGGGGCCCTTCAGGGCCCCTTTTGGGCCCCTGCTGGCTCTCCAAAAATGACACCTTCGGGGCCCTACTTCTTCCTCCTCCTCCTCCTCCTCCTCCTCCTCCTCCGCCTCCTCCTCCTCTTCCTCCTCCTCCTCCTCCTCCTCCCTCCTCCTCCTCCTCCTCCTCCTCCTCCTCCTCCTCCTCCTCCTCCTCCTCCTCCTCCCCCTCCTCCTCCTCCTCCTCCTCCTCCTCCTCCTCCTCCTCCTTCTCCTCTTTTCTTCGCCCCCCAGTGAGGTCACCCCCCATGACCACCCGCCCGACCATCCCAGACCTCTGGCCTGGTGATTTTCCACAACTTTGGCCCAGGATCTCTCGGCTCCCTCACCAGGGCCGGCTTTTTGGACGCCCGAAATGGGTACGGAAAACATGGGTACAATGCCCAACAAAAAGATGCTGTCCCAAACCAACAGCGGCCGCTGTTGGGCAGGCGGCCTTCTGTCTCGAACGGACACAGGCCGCGGCGGCGCGGACAGCGAGTCCTGACCAGAATTAACAAAAACTGCTGTTGGGTATCGTGCCCGTTCTTTCCGTACAGTAGGAGCTCGACCACAAGAGCGCAACCCTAGAGGCCTCCTGGATGGGGTCGGAGTTGATGGGGTCGGAGGACCGCGCCACATCGGCGATACATTGATGATGTATCGCCGATGCATCGGCGATGCATCGGCCATGCACTGGCGACGTCAGCGATACATCTGCGACGTCGGCGTGGAGAACATTGGGCCCCACATCGAGTTGCATCGCCGAAGCATCGCCGATGTATCGGCGATGCGGCACGATCCTCCGACCCCATCTACTCCGACCCCATCTAGGAGGCCTAGAAACCCTGAGGTCCCAGGAGGTCCGTTGAATTTTGGTGTGGGAGCGCCACGCCTCCCACGGCAAGACCCTCGGAGCCCGAGAAGCCCAGGGCACCCTGGAGGCAGGCAGGGTGCTCCCTGGCACGGGCTTGGCCTGACCTGACTACCTACCAGACCACCCCAACCCAACCCGAAGACCCAAATTTCGGGTTGGGGGGGGTACGGGTTCGGTATGTGTTTTCTCGATGTTCCCCGATCCCCCCTCCCACTGGAAATGGAGGGCAAGTTGAGGCCTTCGGGTTGGGTTGGGGTGGTTTGGTAGGTGGTGATCCCACGGCAAGACCATCGGAGCCCCAGAAGCCCAGGGCACCCTGGAGAGGCAGGCAGGGTGCTCCCTGGCACGGGCTCGCGGCCGGACCGCCCCGGCCCGTCCGCGCGGCGGCCCCCGGGGGCACGCGGAGGCGGCCGCCCCCCGGGGGGAGGCCGAGGCAAGGAGGGCCGCGGCCCCCCAAGAGGGTGTCTCCTCGAGGCGGAGGGGAAGGTCCTCCTCCTCCTCCTCCTCCTCCTCCTCCTCCTCCTCCTCCTCCTCCTCCTCCTCCTCCTCCTCCTCGGGGCCAGGCTGCGCGGGTAGCATTTTGGGTCGGGCAGGTCCTCCCCCAGGGGGATGTTGGACGAGAACTACAGATAGCCAGGCAAAACTTAAAAGTAGTCAAAAGATGGTCGACGAATCGTGCCCTGACTACTTATAAGTCGGGCCTGTCCCCCTACAGGGGGATGTTAGACGACTTATCCCGGCAAAGCAACCTAACAGCGATGTGTAGGAGCATATCTGGAAGCATTCCCCTTAAGATTCAGATGAGAATCCAGTTGTAGAATTCTGCTGTTCTCGCAGTCGTAGTCGCATTCGCGATGACAGTCGCAGTGGCAACGGCAGTCGCAGTCACAGCCTCAGCCTCAGCCTGCCTCAGCCTCAGCCTCAGCCTCAGCCTCAGCCTGCCTCAGCCTCAGCCCTCAGCCTCAGCCTCAGCCTCAGCCTCAGCCTGCAGCCTCAGCCTCAGCCTGCCTCAGCCTCAGCCTCAGCCTCAGCCTCAGCCTGCCTCAGCCTCAGCCTCAGCCTGCCTCAGCCTCAGCCTGCCTTCAGCCTCAGCCTCAGCCTGCCTCAGCCTCAGCCTCAGCCTGCAGCAGCCTCAGCCTGCAGCCTCAGCCTCAGCCTCCTCAGCCTCAGCCTGCATCAGCCTCAGCCTCAGCCTCAGCCTGCCTCAGCATCAGCCTGCCTCAGCCTCAGCCTGCCTCAGCCTCAGCCTCAGCCTGCCTCAGCCTCAGCCTGCGCCTCAGCCTCAGCCTGCCTCAGCCTCAGCCTGCCTCAGCCTCAGCCTCAGCCTCAGCCTGCCTCAGCATCAGCCTGCCTCAGCCTCAGCCTCAGCCTGCCTCTGCCTCAGCCTCAGCCTGCTTCAGCCTCAGCCTCAGTCTGCCTCAGCCTCGGCCTCAGCCTCAGCCTGCCTCAGCCTCAGCCTGCATCAGCCTCAGCCTCAGCCTCAGCCTGCCTCAGCATCAGCCTGCCTCAGCCTCAGCCTCAGCCTGCCTCAGCCTCAGCCTCAGCCTGCTTCAGCCTCAGCCTCAGTCTGCCTCAGCCTCAGCCTCAGCCTCAGCCTGCCTCAGCCTCAGCCTGCATCAGCCTCAGCCTCAGCCTCAGCCTGCCTCAGCATCAGCCTGCCTCAGCCTCAGCCTCAGCCTCAGCTGCTTCAGCCTCAGCCTCAGTCTGCCTTCAGCCTCGGCCTCAGCCTCAGCCTGCCTCAGCCTCAGCCTGCCTCAGCCTCAGCCTGCATCAGCCTCAGCCTCAGCCTCAGCCTGCCTCAGCATCAGCCTGCTTCAGCCTCAGCCTCAGCCTGCCTCAGCCTCAGCCTCAGTCTGCTTCAGCCTCAGCCTCAGTCTGCCTTCAGTCTCGGCCTCAGCCTCAGCCTGCCTCAGCCTCAGCCTGCCTCAGCCTCAGCCTCAGCCTGCATCAGCCTCAGCCTCAGTCTGCCTTCAGCCTCGGCCTCAGCCTCAGCCTGCCTCAGCCTCAGCCTGCCAGCCTCAGCCTCAGCCTGCCTCAGCATTCAAAATATGGCCCGGGAATGGAATTCTGGGAACTCGAAGAACACGAAGTGGCCTACAGTTGGCTCCGGGCATTCAAAATCATGCCCAGGAATGGAGTTCTGGGAACTCGAAGACCACGAAGTGGCCTACAGTTGGCTCCGGGCATTCAAAATTTGGAGTTCTGGGAAGTGGAAGAGCACGAAGTGGCCTACAGTTGGCTCCGGGCATTCAAAATGTGGCCCGGGAATGGAGTTCTGGGAACTCGAAGACCACGAAGTGGCCTACAGTTGGCTCCGGGCATCCAAAATGTGGCCCGGGAATGGAGTTCTGAGAACTCGAAGACACGAAGTGGCCTACAGTTGGCTCTGGGCATCCAAAATGTGGCCCGGGAATGGAGTTCTGGGAAGTCGAAGAGCACGAAGTGGCCTACAGTTGGCTCCGGGCATTCAAAATGTGGCCCGGGAATGGAGTTCTGGGAGCGCCAAGAGCGATTTTGCGAGGATGTCTCAGGCGATTTGGGTGGCGGCGGCAGAGCGCCGGCAGATCGCCGGATCCCGCCCAGACCCCCCTGGGGAGTCATGATGCTCTGTTTTGACCCTACTAGAAACTCATCAGTCTTCGCTGTTAGGTAAAAACAAAAAGTAGTCAAAAAAACCCTAAAATATTCAAACATGGTCAAAAAACTCCCCTGACTATTTTCTACTATTTTTGACTAGTCCTCCTGTAGAGGGACAGGCCCGACTTAAGACTAAGTTTTGGTATTTTTGAATATTTCTCCTGTAGAGGGACACGCCCGACTTCAGGGTAACAGGGGGTCCGTGGTCGATCTGCTCTGGACTCCCTGGCGTGCGGAGCGCGCCAGGGGCGGAGCTGGAGGCGCCGCCAGGGGGCGCCCCAGCGTCGATCCAAGAAAGCCGCACGGAGCGCCAAAAGCTTCTGCGTGCGGCGTTTCTTCCTCTTCGAGAGAAGCAGAGAGGGCAACGCAAGGAGAGAAGGGGGCGAGACAACGGAAGAGGAGGAAGAGCGCAAAGAAAAGGGAGAAGAGAGGGGGGCGCGCGCGACGACGGCGCAGGGACGACGGCGCTGGACCCCCCATGTCCGCAACCCTGGACAGCGCCCCTGGCACCGCCCCACGCGGTGGGGCCCCCGCGCTCGCGAAAAGGGGCCATGCCGGGGAGGAAGGTCCAGCGCCGACCCCTGAGATCCGACGTGGCGAAAGAATTGCAGCTTCGTGGAAAAATCACGCCCGGAGCCCTGAACCCTCTCTTCCTGCGTCACTGCTCGGGCCGGACCGATCCGCGAGGGCCCCGAGGCCTGCAGGCATGCGAAAAACGCCGGGCTGTCGAAGAGGTCGAGTCGCGCGGATCCCAGGGACCCCGGAGGCCACGGGCGGACCTCCGAGAGAGTCTTGGCTCGCCCGTGGTCCCAGACCCCCGGCGTCGTGATTTTTTCACCACGTCGACCCCCAGAGGTCTGGGCCCCTTCCCCTGGACCGGTTCTTCGTCCTGAATCCTTTTTTGACGCTCCCGAGGCCCGGGGAGGTTCCCCGGAGGCCGAAAATAGCGAAACCCCCCCCCGTCGTGAATCGTTTTTTGACGCTCCCGAGGCCCGGGGAGGTTCCCCGGAGGCCGAAAATAGCGAAACCCCCCCCCGTCGTGAATCGTTTTTTGACGCTCCCGAGGCCTGGGGAGGGCCCCCGGAGGCCGAAAATAGCGAAAAAAAAACCGTCGTGATTTTTTCACGACGCCAGGAGGTCTGGGGTCTGGCTTCGGAGGCGGCTCGGCACAGCGCCGCCCTGGCCGGGCCGGGGGCGAGGGCTCTCCCCGGGGGCAGCAGAGCCGTCGCCCCTGTCTCGCGGGGGCTGCGCTCTGGGCGCGGAGCTGCTCGGGGCGGAGCTGGCCGTGGCGACGACGAGCCTCCAGGCCCGACAAGGCCTTTTTGATCCGCGGGTCGAGAGCGCACCTGTTGCGGTCGAAGCTAAGCGGGCCGCGCGCAGCTTGAAGTGACGAGAGGGGGGCAGAGGGCCCGACAGGGCCTGCAAGACGTTCGCCCCCAGAGCTCCGACGCTCCGAGAGAACTGGGAGCGGCGGGATTTTTTGGCCGCTTTCGGCCTCCGGGGGCCCTCGCCGGGCCTCGCTGGCGCCAGAAAACGACTCTCGGGACGAAAAAAACCGGCCCTGGGGGGAAGTGGTCCAGATCTCCAGGGCGCACGCATCGAAAAGTTGGAGCGGCTGGATGTCTGGGTCCCCAGATCCCACACCTCGAAGCGTGAATCTCGAGGTTCCGATGCTGTCTATTGAGCAGGGACCGACCGTCCCGGCATTCCTATAGTCCTACCACGAAATGTTCCGAGAACCCAAACAAGTCCTAAGAGCAAAAAACAAGGTTCTTAGAACATAAACCCGATGTGTTAGAACAAGACAGTCCCAGCCAGAAATGTTCTAAGAACATTGCGTGGCAACCACAAAGGGTTCTTAGAACATTGTTTGGTAGGGCTATAGGCGAGCCAGGACGCTTCGCCACTGCTTGAGTCTAAGGAGCGTTCCCCGCGACCTGCGCCGGCGGCACCAGCGGCCACACGGACGGCATGTCGGGCAGGATGGGCCGCCCGGCGCGCGTGTCCTGCTCCAGCTGTAGGCTCTCCTGGGAGGGCGCCAACGATGCCCAGGCCTCCAACGCATTACACATGCCAGTGGGCCCCTAAGCAGTGTTTCTGGCAGTCGATTTGGTGCAAATCACGTGGTGCAATCCAGGTTGTGCAAACTACGATATGCAATCTGAGTGGTGCAATCTACGTGGTGCAATACATGTTGTGCACTCTGCGTGATGCAATATGTTATGTGAAATGTATGTGGTGCAGTTTATGTGGACACATACTTATACATATGTGTGTGTTGTGCAAGCTATGTGATGACCTCTATGTGGTACACTATATGCGTTGCACTCAATGTTGTGCAACCTACGTTGTGCAACACATGTGGTGCAATCTATGTGGTGTAAACTATGGTGTGCTATACATGTGGTGCAATCTATGTGGCGCAGTATTGGTGGTGCAATCTATGCGGTGCAACTCACTTGCCGAACTTGAAATTGTCAACTCCACTGCTCGCGCAATCATCCCACCCACCCACCCACCCGCAACTTGGTTTGCAAAACCCATGCGGGACCGAGCACAAATATCGCTCCGGGGTCGTCTTGGAGCCCTCGGGGGCGTCTCAAGAGCGCCCCAAGAAGTCCGGAGAAGCAAGACGGCCGACGACGACGACGACGACGACGACGACGACGACGACGGCGGCGACGACGACGACGCCGACGTCGACGACGACGAAGACGACGACGCCGACGCCGACGACGACGACGAAGACGACGACGACGTCGCCAACGAAGACGACGACGAAGGAGGAGGGAGGACGACGACGGCGACAACGACGACAACGACGACAACGACGACAACGACGACAACGACGACAACGAGGGAGGAGGGAGGATGGCGACGACGAGAACGACGAAGAAGGAGGAAGGACGGCGACGCCGACGACGACAACGACGAGGGAGGAGAGAAGACGACGACGAGACGACGACGACAACGACGACGACGACGGCGACGACGACGGCGACGAAATAGGAGGGACGACGACGAGACGCCGACGACGGACGACGACGACGACGACGACGACGACGACGACGACGACGAGGGAGGAGGAGGAAGGACGACCACGGCGACAACGACGACGGAAACGACCACGACGCCAAAGAAGACGACGACGACGAACACGAGGAAAGACACAGGACGACGTAGGCGACGACGACGATGACGACGACGACGCGAGAGGAGGGAGGACGGCGACGACGACGACGACGACGACGACGCCGCCGCAAGAGCGCGCGCGCGCACGCTTTTGTTGAAAATCCGTGTTGCGAAACCTTGTGTTTGTGTAGGTTTTTTGGACGCGCGATTTTGAAATCCTTCCGAAACCGATGGGTTTTGAAGGATTTCGGCGTACGCGCGCGACGACGCGCGCGTCTGCACTTCGTCCCATTTTTGCAGAGGATTCTCGCGACGGCACACGCGCAAGGGCGTTCGACTGGTTTCGACATGCGCGCACGACGCCCGTTGGGTAGCATGTTGCGACAATCTTGAAAACCAGTGGTTTTCTTAAGATTTCGCAAGAGCTCGCGCGTAAGCTTGTTTAGCACATCAGTGTTACGAAACCCTGTGTTTTGTATGTTTTTGGGAAACTCGATTGCTAAATCCTTCCGGCACCGAAGATTTTTGAAGGATTTCGGCATGCGCGCGCGACGACGCGCGACGACGCGCGCGCGTGTGCACTTCGTCCCATTTGTTGCAAGGGATTCGCGAAAAAGTGTTATGTTAGAACAAAAAATGTCACCGCATAGTGTTTTTTACAAGGGAACCTCAGGGGGGGGGATACCGGTTGGCCTGGGACATTGTGATTTCATAGTTAGGAAGGACATGTGGTCAGAATCATATGATTTACATATCCGAAAGGGGGGGCGATAACGCCGGGGGGGGGTAGATCCTATTCTGTTTTTAGGAAGGAGAATCTAGGGCTGCGAGGAGTCGGCGACGGAGCGGCAGTGGCGGCCACATACCGCCAGACAGAGACAGGCCCAGTTCCTTAGGAAGGAAATTGGAAACCCTGAGTGCAAGCACTGCTTGGGGAAAGATCTCCGGGCGAAGGACCCAATCATGTGCGGGTCCGGGAGTACAACGGAGCAGGTCGGACGAAGGAGGGGCAAGTCCCCGTGGAGCCACGAAACGTGTGAGGGGTGTGCGGAAAGACCTGCGGAGCCGCCATGCGGACCTTGCCGCTGGAGCCTTCGGTGGAGCTCACTGCGGGGCCACGGAACGCGTGGGAGGTGTGCCGAATCGGGTGCGGGGAACGCATGCGGACCCTGCCTCTGAGGCCTTCGGTGGAGCTCCCCACGGGGCCACGAAGCGCGTGGGAGGTGTGCCGAATCGGGTGCGGGGAACGCATGCGGACCCCGAGCTCCCCACAGGGCCACGAAACGTGCGAGGGGTGCGCCGCAGTGGGTGCAGGGCCGCCACGCGGAGCCTGCAGGTGGGCTCGGTGGAGCTCCCCACGGGGCGGCAGAGGTCAGACGGAGACCCCCGGAGCTCCGCGCACGACCACATGTCGCGCACGAGGCCGGTGTCGAAGTCGACCTCGCGCAGGGCGGCCAGCGCCTCACGGCGGAGGAGCAGAACAGGCCGGTGCCGATGGATGCCGAAAGGCAACGATAGGGACAGCATCATACGCAGAAAGCATCTATACAACCACCGTGCCAGGCCAGGGCCATCCTGGGCCCTGGATGGTGTATACGCCATCCTGGCCGAGACCAGGAGGGTCTATACACCATCCTGGGGCCCAGGATGGCCCTGGCCTGGCACGGTGGTGGTGTATAGATGCATTCGCTGGAGATCAGCCCGCATCGAATCGATGAACCGGATCCAATCGAGACGTGCATCGGCATCGGATCGAGCTGCATTCGGCACAGGATCGAAGTCGGATCGGACCGGCTGCGCCAGGATGCACAACAACGCCGTACAGACATCGGGCCGCATCGGATTTTGGACGCCCGAAGTGGGTACGGCAAAAATGGGCACAATGCCCAACAACAAGTGTTGTCCCAAACCAACAGCGGTCGCTGTTGGGCAGGCGGCCTCCTGTCTCGAATGGACACAGGCCGCGGCGGCGCGGACAGCGAGTCCTGTTCAAAATGAACAAGAACCGTTGTTGAGCATTGTACCCCTTCTTTCCGTGCCCATCTAGTCTGTGCAAACGGATCGTCGGAATATCGGGATGGAATCGGATCCGACCGGCCGGAATCGACGTCGAACCGGATGGATCGGATCGAAATGGGCCCTGCGGGGGGGGGGGCCAGCTCGGGAGGGGGGGCGGCGAAGGCCGACGTGGGCCCGAACCGGGATCGGCGTCGGCAAGGATCCCGAGACATCTTGGTCATGGTCTCTCAGACGCTCCTCCTGGGGACCTCCCTGGAGCCACGTGCGTCGACGAAGCTGCGTCCGACGTCCGTCGCCCGGAGTCGAAGCCGAGTCGAAGCTGCGTCGAAGCTGCGTCGAAGCTGAGCCGAACGGGAGTCGAACTGGAATGAAGGGGCCCCAGGACACACAAATATATACACGCAAATAAAGATATTCCCCATATTTCCCCATATTTTCTGTGTTTCTGTCTTCCCCCCCACTTCCCATATTTTCCCATCATTTTTAAAGGAATGGACGATGAATTGTGCCTGTGTGTTTTTCCCATCATGATGGAACAGAACCGGAGTCGGACTGGTGTCGAGCTGGAGCCGAACAGATCCGCCAGGTGGGCCCCAGGACGGCCCCCAAGACGAGCACCCGAAGCCTCCGTGCTGCCTCCCCCGACACGGGGCGGTCTCCGCGGGCCCTCGAAGCGACAAGGCCGTCCTGTGGACCGGCTTCGTTTGCCGCTTCGTTTGCCGGCTCCGGCGCGCGTTTGGACCCCTCGTGGCCACGGCCGGATTCGCCTCGCCCTGGCGTTTCCGGGGTCCACTACCCTGAGCTTCCAGAGTGCTACAAAATAGCACTCCAGACCCAGACCTCGAACATCGGCAGGATTTGGGACGTCGGCGTCCTGGTGCTATTTTGTTAGCCCTCCTGGAAGGTTCGGGTAAGAGGGCGGCCAGCGCCTCCACGGGGCGAGTTCACTTAGACTGGAGCCGCCGCGGCAGCAGCAGCAGCAAAAACTCCCCCGGTGAGGCCCGCGCGGCCTCTACGGGGGCTCGGCGCGGGTCTCCCGCGGGCCAGCCTCTGGCGCCAGCCACGTGCGAAGGGGGGCCCAGGGGGCACACAAAGAAAGACACGCAAATCCCAGGAGTCCCCATATTCCCCTACATATTCTGGGTTTTCGTCTTCCCCCCACTGTCCATACAGGGCAGGTTTTAATACATAGGATGTTCAAATCCGCCGGCCCCCTTGTGGGGCCACCAGGCTGCGAGGCACGGGTTCGCAGTTTCCAGTACCAGTTGTAGCTTGTAGTTTCCAGTGTTACAGTTCTGCTTCTTGCTGGTTACTGTAACTAGTTGATTGACCGCGCGAGGGGGGGGGAGGGGGGAGGCCCAAACGGGATTTTTAGCGTCCCCTGGGCGCGTTGTCTGAATTGCTGGGGGGGCTCGAAATCGACACCCCTCACGCAGATCCGCGGGGTCAGGGTCCAAAAACACATGGGATTTGCCACATTTCTGAAATTCGGTGCCACCCCTCAAGCAGATCCGCGGGGTCAGGGTCCAAAAACACATGGGATTTGCCACATTTCTGAAATTCGGTGCCACCCCTCACGCAGATCCGCGGGGTCAGGGTCCAAAAACACAGGGGATTTGCCACATTTCTGAAATTCGGTGCCACCCCTCACGCAGATCCGCGGGGTCAGGGTCCAAAAACACAGGGGATTTGCCACATTTCTGAAATTCGGTGCCACCCCTCACGCAGATCCGCGGGGTCAGGGTCCAAAAACACATGGGATTTGCCACATTTCTGAAATTCGGTGCCACCCCTCACGCAGATCCGCGGGGTCAGGGTCCAAAAACACAGGGGATTTGCCACATTTCTGAAATTCGGTGCCACCCCTCACGCAGATCCGCGGGGTCAGGGTCCAAAAACACATGGGATTTGCCACATTTCTGAAATTCGGTGCCACCCCTCACGCAGATCCGCGGGGTCAGGGTCCAAAAACACATGGGATTTGCCACATTTCTGAAATTCGGTGCCACCCCTCACGCAGATCCGCGGGGTCAGGGTCCAAAAACACAGGGGATTTGCCACATTTCTGAAATTCGGTGCCACCCCTCACGCACATCCATCGCAAGACGTGGTAACCCAAACTGCGAGTACTCCCTCGGCCCTTTAATCCCAAGGTGTGGTAACCAAGCTCGTAAACCATACACGTCTTACCAATCGCCCTGTGTGGTAACCCCTCTTGTGATCAGTTGGTTTTGCCGATTGCGAATCGGCCTCGCATGAAGTTCCGATACTGCTGCACGACAGCCCCAAAGCCTCATGACTTAGCTCTTCCATGGCCCATTCTCCGAGAGAGGGGGCCGGCGGCAGGGGGCGAAGCCCTTACGGATATATGATTTCTAATACATGATTAATTCAGGAACAAATTTATGCATGAACTCATCGTTGCTTTTAGTGCTGAATCCCTGCATTTTTTATACATGATCCGCACGCGGAGCATGTATTAAAACCGGCACTGTACGGGGGTCGGCGCGGGTCTCCCGCGGGCCAGCCTCTGGCGCCAGCCCCGTGTGAAGAGGGGCCCAGGGGACACACCAAGAACGACACACACATCCCAGGATTCCCCACATTCCCCATATCTTCGGGGTTTTCGCCTTCCCCGCACTGTCCATACCATTCTCCTGGGGATCGACGCTTCAGGGTGTCTGTGTCTTCTTCCCCTCCTGGCCACGGCGCGCTCCGGCGCAAGGGGGGGGGGGGGGCGCGCCCAGCGCCGACCCAGAAAAACGGGAGCAGCTCGGCCACAAGAAGCCGCCCACGGGAAACCCGACCCATAGGGGGCCGCATGCGAACCCTGCCCCTACCCCCCCCACGACTTCTGAGGGGAAGGGTGGGGTTCGCCTCGTTCGGGAGCTCCCGAGCGAAGTGAACCCCACCCCACCCCCCCGCAGAAATCGTGGGGGGTAGGGGTAGGGTTCGCATGTGGCCCCCTAACCCAGAGACCCCAGTTGATTTTTGGGTGCGGGAGCGTCGCGCTCCCCATACGGTGCAGGTTTTAGAAAAGGACACCTTCGATAAGGAACCCAGGGTCTCGCCACCAATGGGCAGCCAAACGTGGGCCATCCACCTGGTCACCTCGCCTTGAAACAATAAGGAATGCGCCAGGGTCTGGGCCCCCAGGAAGACGTTCCTTATCCAGTGCCGCCGCCGTAGCAGAACCGTCGGAACCCGAGAAACCCGGGGCACACTGGAGGCGAGCAGGGTGTTTCTTGGCATGGGTTTCCACTGTAAGGTCATCGTGCTACCATCAGGAACGCTGAATCAAGAAGGAAGGGGCTGCACGGTTTCCCCCGGGCCGTAGGCGACCCGAGGAGGGTGAGGAGGAGGAGGAGGAGGAGGAGAAGGAGGAGGAGGAGAAGGAGGAGGAGGAGGAGGAGGGGGAGGGGGAGAGGGAGGAGGAGGAGCAGGAGGAAGAGGAAGAGGACTGGTCTCCTAAGCCCCTCGAAGAAACCCTCCAGAAGGGGCTGTTCTGGCCACCGCGAGCCGCGGCCACGAGTGGGCTCCTCGACCCAAATCGAGTGAATCGTCCGAAGACCAGAGCCCGTCCTGCGCCCAAAAGGGTCCTCCCTCCAGAGTCCTCACTGCAGTCCGCGCGAACCTCCGCAGGCTGATGCTGCATGCTGCATGCTCATGCTGGGATGGCAGGACATCCGCACCCACAAGACAAGAGCCCGTCCTGCGCCCAAAAGGGTCCTCCCTTCAGCGTCCTGACTGCAGTCCGCGCGAACCTCCGCAGGCTGATGCTGCATGCTGCATGCTCCTGCTGGGACGGCAGGACAGCCGCCCCCGCAAGGAGCACCCCGCGACGAGCGAAGCCGTGCAGCGACGCGCGCCCAGGGAAGGAATCGAACGGGGGGGGGGGCATGACTGTTCGGTAAGCGCCAAGGGCCGTTTGGTAAACGCCAGCTGTCGGGGTCTGTGGGGTTTTTGCTTCCTTTCGGAACATGCATCTATTTTTAGGTCGGGCCTGTCCCCTACAGGGGGATTTTCGACGAAAAATGAAAAATAGTAAAAACAAAAAAAAAAAAAAAAAAAACTGTTAAAACAAATGATCCCCCTGACTATATTTTTGAATATTCCCCCTGAAGAGGGACAGGCCCGACTTAAAGCTATTTGGTGACGGCGCCTCGTGGAGGAGCTCCGGCGGGTCCAGGTGGGCGAGGAAGAATCTGAGAGCATGGTCGCATCGCTTCTTCTCGATCAGGCCAAGCACCCTTCGCAGCGACCAGCCACTCCCGTTCAGTGGAGCCTGCATGTCTTCGACCGGGAGTAGCGATGCTAGGGAGCAGAACAACCACCCTCGCAATGAGCACTCCGACAAGCAAGGCGTCGAGCAAGCGCACCCAAAAAAGGAATCGAACAGGGCAGGGCTGTTCAGTAAACGCTCAGGGCCGTCTAGTAAACGCCACTTATCGGGGTCGGGGTGGTTTTTCCTCCCTTGAGATACAGCGATACGGATGGTGCTGAACATGTCGTTCCTCTCCTCCACCAGGTGGTAGAAGAGGACCTCAACGTCTTCGGGCCGAAGGGCCCTGACATTGATGGATAGCCGGGGAATGAGCTCCAGGAAGGCTCCGGGGCCCACCACCGCAAACAGCCTGGCCGCGTCGATGCGGCTAAACGAGTCAGGGTGCAGCTGCACCCACTCCTCGATTGTATCCATCACCATTTGCTGTAGGAGCTTCCGTTTCGGTTTCCTCAGTGCTGGAGAAACCTCCTTCAGAGTCTTCTCGTTGAGGATGCCGAACACGTTCTCGGCTCCGTGGTGCACGTAGTGCACCTCGAAGAGGTTCGAGCAGGCGGTAAACAGGTCTGTCTCGAAGTCGCGCCTCCTCCGCGCGGCCTCTTTGGGGCAGCTGCAGTTCAGGGCCGCCAGCGCGCGGTAGATGACATTCGCCGCCAGCTCGTGCGACGCGCCCCGCGCGCACAGCTCCGGGGCCATCTCCCACAGTTTCTGGGACGCGAAGATGTTCCAGCGCTGCCGGTGCGGCAGCACCTCCTGTCGGGGGTCCCTCCTCCTCCTCCTCCTCCTCCTCCTCCTCCTCCTCCTCCTCCTCCTCCTCCCAAAACCGTGGCGGCGGACCGCGTGGCCACCACGGAACCCCAAGGGCCCTCGCCGCGCGGCCCGCCACCGCACCGCCCGGGGCCTCGGAGGCCCCGGTCGCCCGAGACGTCCTCGGAGAGCGGCCCGAGCCCCAAAAAACCGTGCGGTGCGGTCACCACGCCGGCCTTCGGGCCCCACCTCGGCTCTCCGGCGGCACCTCGGGGACGATCCAGGCACCTCAGGAGCTCTCGCGGCGAGGCGCAGCCTGTGGAGCGCATCCCGAGGCAGGAGGAGCCCCCAAGAAGCGTCGAAACCTTCCTGGCACTGAAGCTAAGGAGCTGAAATCTATACACCGACGCTCGATCGGGCCCCTCACTGGAACTCGCACAGGAGAACGGATCACGGTGTATACGGGATCCTGGTGTATACACTTTTCGTGGTTTCCCCGGGAAGACGGGGAAAAAGTATACAGCACATCACCCAGACGTCGTCCCCGACCCTCAGAAAGTCCCAGGATTGAGAAACAGCCCGCCACTGGCAATGTGTATATTCCAATTTCCGACCACACCGAATCGACACGCGGCGTGATCGCCGCAACGCTCGGGGGGCCTTGGGACGCACAGGGACATACTACTACTACTACTACTACTACTACTACTACTACTACTACTACTACTACTACTACTACTACTACTACTACTACTACTACTACTACTTACTACTACTACTACTACTACTACTACTACTACTACTACTACTACTACTACTACTACTACTACTACTACTACTACTACTACTACTACTACTACTACTACTACTACTACTACTACTACTACTACTACTACTACTACTACTACTACTACTACTACTACTACTACTACTACTACTACTACTACTACTACTACTACTACTACTACTATATGTCCTCCTTGGAGGCGCGCGTCCGACCCGAACACATAGCATAACCATCTTGTAGCATATCGTTTCCCGAGCGGCGTGGTCAGAGAGCGCCTGCCACGGCGCATATACTAGAAGATTTCTCGGTGCGCGCGTCGCCCCACGGGGGAGGGAGGCACACATAGTGGGAGTCCGTTGGGGTGACGCCGATCCTGGGCGGCGTGCTCCATCTTGTCGGCTCTTGCGAATCGACGCTAGTCGACGCTAATCGACGCTAAATGGACGCCAGTCGACGCCAACCGACGCTAAATCGGCGCCATCTCGCCGACTCCTAGACGCGCATCGACGCTAAAGATGGAATCAAGAGGGTACACTAAGCTCCCATGATTTGCTACTCCAGATTTCGTAATAAAGGGAGGGGGGTCTCATTTCGGGGGGGTCTCTTCCAGGCTATCTTGGAGGGCCTGGGGGGTCTGGGGACGATGTTTTTTGGGCAGGGTGGGTGTGCAGGAGTGGGTTCGAGTTTTTAGGGGTCGGTTATAGCGAACTCAAGGTCTCTTGAGGTCTTTAAAGTTGAGGTCTAATGGGCTGGTGAGGGGGTGACGGGTCTTACAACTTTATTAAGAAAGACCAACGAGGGTATGGGGGTGACGGCCATTGGGTTCTCCCACGGGGGACGGTCTGAAATGGCTTGTCTTGGAGGGTCCAGCCCCCCTCCTTTTAATACGAATCCTGGAAGTACCGAAGCGGCTCGTGGGGGCGGCGTGCTCCATCACGGCGGGGCGCTGCGCCTGAGCGCCGGGGGCAGGTTGCTCGGGGGAACGCGGGCTGCCCGAGCAGCCGCAGCTTGCTTTCCGAAGGGCAAAGCCGCGGCCGGCGGCGGAGGCGGGGGGCCCGCGCTGCGGCGGCACATGAGAGAAGGGGGGGGGGGGGGGGGAAAGAAAAAAAAAAACGGCCCTCACACGAGAAGGCATGGCGGCCCGACGCCGCGGCTCGCGCGAGCCGCCAGCGCGGCACACCGCGCGGAGGAGAGGGCGCTCATGCGCCGCGGTCTTGCGCGGGAAGAGAGGCCTCCCAGAGGGGGTCCGAGGAGATGGGGTCCGAGAGGCCTCCTCCTTCTCCTGCTGTTCTCCTCCTCCTCCTCCTCCTCCTCCTCCTCCTCCTCCTCCTCCTCCTCCTCCTTCCTCATCCTCCCTCCTCCTCCTCCTCCTCCTCCACCTCCTCCTCCTCCTAATTAGATGGGCTTGGAATAGATGGGGTCGGAGGATCGCGCCGCATCGCCGATGCATCGCCGACGCATCGGCGACGTCAGCGGTGCGTCGGCGACGTCGGCGCGAGAAACATCGGGCTCCACATCGAACCGCATCGCCGATGCACTGGCGATGCACTGGCGATCCCTCGACCCCGTCTGCTCGGACCCCTTCTGGAGGCCTAGGAGGAAGCTTGCAGTCAAGAAAGTGACAGTAAGGAGGCGCGGTAAAGATGTAAGCCCCCTGGACGCGCATGTCAGAGCTTCTCGAGAGGGGCTGGCCATCGGAAGTGGTCAAGGATGGACCGAAGAGGCAAGGATGCAATGATACCCTTGGGAAGGCTACTCCGGATTTTACAATAAAAGGGCGGTGGTCTGACTTGGGGGGGTCTGACTTGAGCTGTCCTGGAGGGCTCCAGTGGGGTCTGGGCAAGAGGCCGCCCTTTCATGGCTGGCTTGGGGAGGGGTCAAAAACTGCTCGTCTGGGAGGGTCGGTGGCCCCCTCCTTCTTGCTACGGACCTTGGGTACAGTCGGACCTACGACAGAAAAAAATCAAAATTAAAACAAAAAAAATCCTTCAAGAGCATGAGACCCTCCGCCGGCCACCACGGAGAGCAGTCGAGGGGGCACCCACCCCGAGAGGGCACAAGAGAACATCCAACGAGCACGAAGAACGCTGGGGGTACCCTCCCAAAAATTGGAGGCCTGGAAATGGGCACCAACACCAAAACAGGGGGTTGCCTCCACAAGGGGAAGACGATCCTGGAGACCCGTGTTGGTGGTAATATTTCGGTCACCCTGGAAGCCAGAACATCACCACCAGCACCGAGATCGGGATCTCCGTCCCTCGGTGGAGGCACACCGCCGATCTTACTGCTGGTGTCAACCCCTGGGCCTGCGACAAAACGACCTCGACCTTGTACGTCGGCCCTGCTGTATGAACCTTCGGAGCGCAGCGCGGATGTCTTGGATCGGCGACGGGCCCCACCTCGCCGTCGCTCGGACGTCCATTTCCCGTGCATTTTTCGGGTTCGTGCGTGTATTTTTTGCTCGATGGTCCAGGATCGTCCTCAAGGGTCCTCGCCGAGAAAAAAATACACACGTCCGAGCGATGCCAGGCCACTGGCGGCGCCTCTGGCGCCGCGCCTCCGGCGCCGCGCCCCCTCGGCTCCCGCCGCCGCGCTCCGCGTGGGGAGGGGGGGGGCCTGGCCGCCCGATCCGGGGATCATCCGCGCGGAGCTGCATTCGATGCGGCACACTCCTCCTCCTCTCCTCCTCCATAATCATCCCCCAATTCCCGTTCCCTCCTCCTCCTCCTCCTCCTCCTTTTTATTGTCTTTAGGATTGTTTCTCCATTACTTTTTCCTAAATAATGACGCGTCTTCTAAAAAAAGAAAAATCTGACTACTGGCTGATGCAGCCACCGCGCCTCCACCCGAAGAGCAGGCTGAGCAACGACGGGGCGCTGCAGGCCACGGCGGGCCTCGGCCCCGAACAGCTCCTCCGCGACCCAGGCCCGACAGGCTGCAACGTCGTGAAGAACCGCGACCGGAGCCCCAAACCCCATCTTTCTGCGTCAATTTGGCGGTCTCCAAACCAGGTGGTGAGACACCCGGTGGTGACCCCGATTCCCCCAAAAAATAATTCTGGGTCACCACCGGGTTTGGGGACACGCGGTCGCCACGAGGTTTTGCGTTTCTTGGGCCAGCCAGCGCTCGAAAACCATTACCCAAATCGCCCAAAACTCACCACCGGGTGTTCTCACCACCACGTTTGGGGACCACCCTATCTTCCTGCGGCAATCTTCGAGCCAAGGTCGATCCGTGAGGGTCCCGGGGCCCGAAGTTGAGCGAAAACGCCGAGTGTTCAAAAAAAACTGCAGCGCCAGGATCTGAGGGTTCTTACCTCGGCCCGACTGCACCCATCCTCATCATCGGGGTCGACTGTACGCGCAAATGCGCCGTCGGACCCGTTAGTAGAAGGCAAAAAATCCCCCCCCATCATCACAAGCACCCCGACGAGCAAAGCCGCTTGGTAAACGCACCCAAGGAAGGAATCGAACAGGGCAGGGCTGCCTAGTAAACGCCCAGGGCCGCTTAGTAAACGCCAATTGTCGGGGTCTGGGTGGTTTTGCCTCCCGACCCTTCTCATCGGGTTCGGCTGTAGCCCCCGGGCGCGCCGCCGAATTCGGTATGTAGGTCATAACTCGGCTCTCCGGTGGCCGTTCGGGACGTTCCGGGCACCCCTAGAACGCTCTCGGCGAGGCGCAGCTGCTGGAACGCATCCCGAGGGCGGAAAGCCGACAGGAAACTACGAGAACACCGAAAAAGACCTCGGTCCGACAGTACCCATCCCTCTCATCGGGTGCGACTGTCCGCGCGAATGCGCCGTCGGCCCCGTGAGGCTTAGGTCAGGTATGTCCATCTACAGGCGAAGTTTGGAAGACAAATCGGATCGTCCCCACACGAATTTTCGCCTATATTCGAAGTCTCCTCCGGTAGAGGGACGTGCCCTTTGGACACCCGACATGGGTACCGAAAGAATGGGTACAATGCCCAACAACCAATGTTGTCCCAAACCAACAGCGGCCGCTGTTGGTTTGGCGGCCTTCTGTCTCAAATGGACACAGGCCGAGGCGGCGCGGACAGCGAGTCCTGTTCAAAATGAACAGGAACTGCTGTTGGGCATTGTACCCATTCTTTCCGTGTCCATCTCGTTCGTGCAGATGCCCGACTCGACGCGAGGCTTCCGCCGCTCACCCGGCGAGGCGGCCGCCGTGCCCCGCGCGCATGGCCGTGCCCGGCGCGGGGCCCTCTGCGGCGCGCCGCGGGGGCGCGCCGAGGGGGGCGAGGTGGCCCCAGGCCCCCCCGACGATCTCGAGGAGCCTCGAGGCTCCTCGACATCGTCGAGGGGCCTCGAGGTCGTCGCGGGGCCTCGAGGCCCCTCGAGGTCGCCGAGGGGCCTCGAGGTCGTCGCGGGGCCTCGAGGCTCCTCGGGAACATCGAGGGGCCTCGAGTTCGTCGACGATCCTCCAGATCGTCGAGGAGCCTCGAGATCGTCGAGGCTCCTCGAGGATCCTCGAGGTCTTTTCCCAGAGGCATCCCAGATTGGGTCCGAGCAGATGGGGTCGGAGGATTGCGCCGCATCGCTGATGCATCGCATTGCCAGCGTCGGCGCGGAGACGAGAGGGGCGCCACAGCGGGGCGCATCGTCGATGAATATGCTCGCACACCATCTGGGGGGCCTCCATCCCTTCCCCTCGGGTCGGCTTCTCCTCGAGAGCAACACGCGCTGGCCGCAGCGGCGCGATCCTCCAGCCCAGTCTACTCGGACACCATCTGGGGGGCCTCCATCCCTTCCCCTGGGGATCGGCTTCTCCTCGAGAGCAGCACGCGTTGGCGGCCGCGGCGGCCAACCGGTGAGGCGCCCCCCCGATTTGGACGCCCGAAATGGGCACGGAAAGAATGGGCACAATGCCCAACAACAAATGTTGCCCCAAACCAACAACGGCCGCTGTTGGGCAGGCGGTCTTCTGTCTCAAGTGGACACAGGCCACGGCGGCGCGGACAGCAAGTTCTGTTCAAAACGGACAGGAACTGCTGCTGGGCATTGTACCCATTCTGTCCGTACCCATCTCGTTCGTGCCGACCCGAGGGGAGAGCGGAGACGGCGGACCGAAAACTTCCTCGCCGCGGCTGTCTCTCGCGCCGCGAGGGGGGGCCTGGAGGGCGGCGGCCGGGGAGGGGGGAGGGGGAGGGGGGGGGGGGCACTCGAGCCCCGAGCGACCTATCCGCGGGCGTGCGGGAGGTAGGAGCCAGAAAAAGGAGGTAGGAGCCAGGAAAAAAGAAAAGCACACCCAAAGGATTCGATTGGAAGGGTTTTAAAGGCACCGCCAACGGTGCAGCGCATGTGCACCCATGCCACTGGCTCCTCGGCGATCCGCACCAAGGTTGAGGCACGGCCGGTGCTCTGAGATGCAAGCGAGGAGGGGGAGGTCATGAGATGGGCAGGGTCGTGAGAGGGGGAGGGTCGTGAGAGGGGCGGGCGCCCCGAGCGGGAGAGGAGCACGCGGGCGGGCGAGAGCTTGGGGGGTGAAGGGCGGCACCGAGAGGCGCGAGCTCCGCTCCGAGCGGAGCGGAAGACGTCACGGCCCGTACGAGCACGCTCCTGGCCATCCCGGGGGCGTCCCGGGTGGAGGACCCTCGGACACAACCCTCCTCCCTTCTCCTCCCCCCTCCCTCCTCCTCCTCCCACCTCCTCCTCCTCCTCCTCATCCTCCTCCTCCGCCTCCTCCTCCTCCTCCTCCTCCTGGATGGAGGACCCTCGGACACCAAGCGGGGCGTGGCCCGAGGAGAAGAAGAAGTGGCACTCGAGCCTGGTGCCAAGAGAGGGACGGGAGACGGGGAAGAAGGGCCAACGTGGGTGCGCTCGCGGCGCACCTGGCGTCTGGCGGCCTGCCTTTCCCAGCCATCCCTTCCCTTGGCGCACGGCCCCTTTCGACTCGCCGACCGAGACGTGACGAAGGCCTTGATGCTTGGACCGTGGTCGACTGCACGTGGGGAGACGGGGCAAGATGGGGCCAGGCAGGAGGAGGACGAAGCGGAAGGAGGAGCAGCAGCAGGAAATTCATACGAACGAGCAGAGAGGAAAGAGGAATGTAGAGGGGAGGGGGAAAAACTGGAGGAGGAGCACGAGTACGAGGCATGAGGCACGAACACGAGGGGGGCCCGAAGGACGACGACGAGGGGGGCGAGGAGGGGGAAGCAGGAGAGGGGAAGGGGAAGTAGGAGAGGGAAGCGGCCGAGAAGGGAGACGACGACGACTGCGACGACGGCGACGAGGAAGGTGGCAAGCTCCGTCGGGCCCAGGCTCTGCTGCCCGACGCGAGCCCCGCGTCTGGCGCCCAGCCGCACCCCCGGGGCGATCCCCCCCCCTTGTGACGCGATCCGAAGAGGCACATCGTCGGGGGAGAGCTTCGAGATTCGAGGTTCGGCGACCGACATTCGAGGGCGTACAGCGAAAGCTTGCATTAAGGACGGGTGGTAAGGACGCAAGACTCTTGGAGGCCGAAGTTGGTGTTTGGGTGTTTGTTTTGGGCGACGGGCAGCCAGTGAAAATGGCAAAAGGACGGGCCGCAGAGGCAAGGACACAAGGGTACCCTAGATGAAGGCGCGCGTCCTTACTAGGCGCGTTGACTGTAATCCCACCAGCCCTGCGGTCGTGAGTGGTTTAGCGCGTGTTCTCTTCTATATTCCCTTCTTCCCCGTTGGGAGGGGTTTGCCTCTCGTTTGCCCCTCACCCTGCCCCCTCCCCCTGGACCTGGACGGGGCGCCCCGCGACCCATTGGAGCGTCCAAGATGGCCCACGATGGCTCCAAGAGGGCCTCGGAGAGCCCAAGATGGCTTCCAAAACGGCTCAAGATGGTTCAGTATTGCTCAAGATGGCTTCCAAAATGCTCCTAGAGGCACCAAGACCGCATCAAGACGGCTCCAAGTGG